GGGGAAAGGGGTGGCGCGTCGCGCTGAGTTGAAATCTATTGTATGTTGAGGGGTTTATGATTCTAAGTGTTTGGGGCTGGATCCATTGAAGTTAAGGAGGTTTAGAGTTGGAAAAATGAAGGAGAAAAGTCGAGTTTTCTGGGGAAAGGGGTGGCGCGTCGCGCCTGCCAGCGCCCCCCAAAAGGGGTTATGAACTTTTCCCCTTGGGGCGGCGCGCCTAGCAGTGCGCCCCAGCTGTCCCTCTAAACTTTAGGGTCTGGCGCTCCGCTCCTCTCAGAGCACCAAGGACGCCAAGTTTTCCCTTTCATCCCCCAATTTCTCATACATGTTCCTTGGTAATGTACCTATGTTTTATAGTTGTTTTCAACACTCTAAGGTACATCTAAACATCACGAATTCATCCGTAAACATGAGATCATTATCCTCGAATCCGTACTCCAATTCGAAGAAACTTAGGATCAAGTCAAGTGAAGTTAGAAGTCAAGTTTAGAAGTTAAGAAGCAAGTCAAAGCAAGTCTTTAAAGTTATTGAAGAGTCTTTGTTAAATGTTTTAACTTTGTTTAAGGCTTAAGTTTAAATTTAAGTAAAGAGTATAGAGTTTCAAGTTAAGCCAAGAGTATAGAGTTGAGTTCATTTCTCAAAAGTTATTAGGGAACTAAGTATTCCCAAAGAAGTTTATAAATGTTTTTATATTTGAGTAAGAAAGGAACTATGATTCCAAAAGAGCCTTTGGGCTAGTTTTCAAGAAAAAGGAACATCGATTCCAAGTGAGCCTTTGGGCTAGATTTTGAGCAATTATCTCAAACTAAAGAAAGATGTGTCTAAAACACTTATGAGCTAAAGTATTTTGGGAGTAGTATTGAGCACCGAATTGGGGGACACGAGTTCATATTAACTCAACTCCCCATAAGAACCATGTAGCCAAACATGGGATTTAACGGGTCATACTTTTTAGATGATCACGTAAGATTAAGCTAGTGGATCCACTAAGTTAAGTAAGGTCCTATATCACGGCAAGGTATAGGATGGTCCTTGGGCAACGTGACGTAAAATGTTGTATCATCACTAGGGCTCATAGTGGTGGTTGTCGGTTAAAAAATCTCCCACTAAAGTTATATTACTTTTATATAAGTAAAGTTGAGTTTGTTATTGTTTTATCCTTAACGAACTAAGTTGTTTACAATGTTTTACAAGATTTATATATATTGCATGGGTTTTATTGCTTTATATTGAGTTCGGTTATTCATGAGTCGAGCAGAACCAAGGTAAGAGTTCCTTTGTATTTCTTTCAAGCTTAAGTTGTTGTTTTAGCTTACCAACTCGCATACTCGTACATTCAATGTACTGATGCCAGTTGGCCTGCATCTTATGACGATGTAGACGCAGGTACCCAGGATCAGCATCCAGCACGCCGTTGATCCAGCTGAGCACTACAGAGTCAGTGGTGAGCCTCCTTGTTTCGGGAGGACTCTGTTATTTTGTGTTCTTAGTTTTGTTTTGTTAGGATGTTGCGGGGTCTGTCACAACATCCATCTCTGTATTTTAGAGGCTTCATAGACAGTCAGTCAGTTAGTATTGAGTCTCTCATCTATGTAAATATTCTATTTTGAGACACGAGTTGCCTTTTTGGCCAGATTTTTATCAGTTTAAGTTGTTTTATAACCCTGCATTGCATTGAGTTATTCTGTTGAGTTAGGTTTCCGCTGAGTTAGAAAGTCAGGCCAAGGGTTCTCTTGGGGCCAGCAATGGTCTCCGGGTGTCGGTCCCGCTCAGGGTGTAGGCTCGGGGCGTGACACGATTCTTGAAGAACTTGACGATTCTTGCTCCTTCTCCTATTTTCTCTTCTCCTTTTCTCTTCTCTAAAACCCTAACTCAATATCGTAAAAGCATAAACTGAATCTTATCATTTTAGACCCCAATTAATTACCAAAAAAATGAAATTAAGTCATGGGTATGGAAAAGACCATAATGCCCTTCAAAAATCTGGATTAGACTTTCCTTATTTGAACAACCCAACTTCAAATGAGCATATCTCACTCATACAAACTCGGAATCGTGCAAACTCAGCGGCGTTGGAAAGATTATTCCAAGATCTTTCCTACGATATCTGGAAACCTACCTAACCCATCCTGAGCTAGGAGTTATGGTCGTTTGAAGTTGACCAAAAACTCATCTTAACAGACTTAACAAATTTTCCAGATTTTTATATTCTTTCCAAAAATAACTATTTCCAATTCTTAACTTCTTCTTAGTTATTTCAATTTGCGAGATGTTACATTAGAGGTTCTTGAGTTATGTGATAATGACAAATAATCAAATTCATGTGGAAATATTGCTAATATTTTTTAAGAACCTATTTTCCATTATTTTTAATGTATGGATATTAGTAAATGATTATTTGCAAGTTTAATACAATTATTATTTATGACCGCGCGAAGCACGGACAAATTACCTAGTTGGTATATGTGATTGAATATTAATGGGGACAACATGAAAAAGAATTGTTGAGCGTTCCAATCTACTCCCTCTATTTCATATTAACTAAATTTGTGATGCATGCACACTTATTAAGACAAACTTTTAAGGATATAATTTAAACCTTACTTTTCATTATTAGATTTTGTGGAATCATAAATATAACTTTACATGTACTGTAATTTATCTCCTAGAAAATATCAAACTTCATAAAAGGAAAGGATAAATATAAAAAAAAAAAATCAAACATACATCTTAAACTTTAAACAGTTCAATTATTTAAAATAATAAAAAGACTCCAAAAAAATCAGTTAATATGAAATTAGACTATTACTTTTTCCTTTTAGTTATTATGTTCCATCATCATGCACCTAATAATGATGACATCTCTCTTTAATTAATAAACACTATATACCTAGCAGTTTGGGGTCAGCCTAGATTTTTTTAATAATAGAAAGTGGGTGTTACCTAGCATCTTATAAGACAAGGTATCAGAACAAACAATTAGGACTACTTGTATTAGTTTAAGGATTTAAGTTAGATTAAAGTTATATACATTTATGGGGTAGATAATTTTTTTAATTACATTTTCGAGTAACTTGGATCGTGGTAGTAAGTTAGCTACTTCATTTATTTATTTTAATAATTGTAAATATCTTTTAATTGTCGGTGCACAGAGAAATTACACTTATAATTATTACTCCCTCGGTCTCAATATATATGATATATTTTGGATTTTGAAATTCAGATAAATCTATTTTTGACTTTAAATTTTCCATATATCTTTTAAATATTTTAAATTATCAATTATTGTAACTTATAATATTTTTTACAAATAAAATGGGTCATATAAATTAGAGCAAAGAGAGTATATTGATTATATTCCCTTCATTCATTTGAAAATATTGGGAAATGAATAATATACTCCTTCATTTGAAAATAAGTAAATTGTTAATGTAATGAATATCCATTAAGAAAAGAAGTTTAGGAGATAAAGTGAACATCACTTTCTCCTTTTGCGCTTTTAGTTATTTTTTCAAATTATTCTTGAAAATATAAATAGTTCAAAGTAAAATTATAAATATGAACGATTAATTCTCTTGAAATTATCACCTAGAAAATATTAATAAGGGGCAAAAAAAAAAAGAAATTTCTAATAACTTTCTTGAACATTATACAATTTTTTTAATTTTGATCTATGAAAAAAGATTACCAATTCACTTCTTTTGAAATAAAGAAAGTAATATGTAAAAAATAATTAAAAGGTAATAAAATATTTTCTGATTTTTAAACTAAACAAATAAAAATATATACTCTATTCTTAAGAATGGTAAACTAACAAAAACAGAGAGAGAATGTATATCACTTGGCACCATAAGAAAGTCGGTTGATCTACCAACTCTGTACTTGTGTTACATCCTCATTAATGTGGTGAGGATGCATTACTTAGAGCCAAGGGCAGCTCAACATAATTTGTGGCCTAAAGCGAAATTTTTATTAGAGGCCTAAAATCTATATAAATTTTATCTATATCTATTTATTTTTCTAAATTTCTAGATGTAAATTACTACTTAATATCTTTTATATAAATGATATTTCAAACACTTTTTTTTAATTATTAGTTTTAAGTAAGATTTTATCAATTCAACATTGAAAAACATCCTTTTATTGAGACAATTATTATATGAATTATTAACACAATTTTATAAGTAATAGTTGATAAACTTTAAAGATAAGAGTTAGAATCATAGAATTTGATTCAAAAAGTTGATAACTTGGTATACCTACTTTAATATGAAAATTAACAAATAAATTAAAAAAAAGAATTTGTAATGCACTTTGTTCAACACTTTTCGACTATTGATTCATATTTTTGAGAGTGTATTACTCTAACTATCAAAGATTTGAAGAAATAGAGTGCAAAAAGAGTTACAAAGGATAAATAATGTGAGTGTTAACGAAGAAAATGTAAGAATCCAAAACAATGTTTCCTTAATTTCTTCTATTTGAATGGGGTTAAGATACATAATTTTTTATTTATAAAAATTTGAGGCCCCCAAAAATTGGGGGCCTAAGGCCAATGCCTAAAATTTTATAGGCAAGAGCCGGCCCTGCTTAGAGCTCACCCATGACCATCCATAAGGATAACGGTGGAGCAGTAAAAAAAAAATTATTTTAATTAGAGGTTTTAGGTTTGAGTTTTTTTGGGTATGAATTCGCCTTTTCTTAAAAAATGTTTTACTTTTTTATGTGAAATTCTTCAACATAAATTTAAATTTAATCAAATTTTAATAATAGATACTACACACCGAGTTATTTAAAAAAAAAATTGAGCAACCCAACATCTGATTTTCAATGAACAGTTGCTTTTAATGTGTAGAATTATTGACAAAGAAATGAATGCAAAAGAACAATTATGAATGTCAGGGCCTAAAAAAGCATTGGGAAAATAATGCATGTGGGGCTCCTTTTCAAGAGGTAAGCATCTTTGTCAAGATTTAATGTCACTTTGTCCTCTAAACATGTGGTGGTTTGTATGTGCAATGTCTATCACTCTTGCTCTGGCTTAAATTTAGGGGTAGCTTCTAAAAGATGGAATTTCTCCATCAACAACAATTTATACATTTCATTAATAACAATTTGTCATCTCAGAATTGAATAATTTGCCATTGACAAAATTCTTTAAGTTAGGTATTGCCATTGATAAAATCAATTGATGGCTCTGGTTTCTTGGGCTAAGAAGGAGCTTTCTAGACTCAAACTCCAAAACAAGCCTAAAAGATTGACACTTCCTCAAACTTCCACCAAATGTTTGGCACTTCCTCTGGTAAGTCACCAATACATCTTTTTTTTTAGAAAAAATCGGTCACAGTTCAAATAGCCAACCAACTGAGCTACTAAAATTCTCAGTCACCAATAGATCTGTCTCTCAATTCCTGTTTTTTTCCCTTTTTTAACAACCGTGGTGACCAAATCAGTTACAATCACATTGACTATTTTAATGAGTTTGAGTAAATACTCTGCAGTGTATTTTAAAATGAAATCCTTATATGTGATTATATTGCTATTAGTAAATTAATAGACTTGTTAATCTAAAAAGTTACATAATTATCATATTATAAAGCTTTGAGTTGATTGCTTTTGGTGATGAAATGCAGATCCAGGAAGTGGTATTAGATGCAGATCTAAGATGCGCCAACTGCCAAAACAGAGTCTCTAGTGTAATTTCAAATGTTGAAGGTGAGTTATCTCTACATTTTGTATGTGTTTGATCATAAATAATGTGATAATTGAAAGAAAAAAAAGTTTAAGTTCGATTTTTTTTAAAATTGAAATTGTGCATAGAAATATACTTCCTCCGTTTCTATTTATAAGTCATCATTTTAGATTTAACATCTCTTAAAATCCTATGTAAGTTTATCATTGTATTCTTATTTAATAAAAATTCTTAAAGTTAAGTTTCAATAAATGAACATAATTTATTTATTTTAATTAATTAAATTGACTAATGAACATGATTAAATTCATGATTTCGAAGCCAATACTCCCTCCGTCCCTATTATTTATCCATTTTTTTACTTGACACACAATTAATAAAATAATAATTGATATAGTATGTTTTATCATTATTCCCCTATTAATCGATAGAATTCCAAAATCAATTTACTCATCAAAGAGATTCTATTTTTTTTTCAAAACATCAACTCTTTAAATAAATTGAGGGTATTATAGATAAAAAAAAATATTGTATTTTCTTGATTTGTCAAAAAGGACAAGTGAAAAGGGACAAGTAACAAGTCAAGATTGGATAAATAAAAGGAGTAACTCTCAAAGGTAAAATAGAAAGAATTTATGCATTGATTTTGTGAAAAAACAAATATTAAGGATTATCTATTTTTATTTAGAATGACATATAAATAAGAACGGAGCGACTATTTTATTAGGGAAAAAGTTAAGAAAAAAATATAACAGTGTTTTTGAAAGCTAAGTAATAATCCTAATTCCTATATTGATCCATTTAAGCTTTCAACTGAATATTGCAGATGTGGAGTCTATCGTGGTGCACGTACTAGATAAGAAGGTGACTCTTATTCGCAAATCCACAAGTAAATGACGTTGAAAGCAAATTCATTCAAACAAAACAATGTTACAATTTAGGGACTCAACCATCAGTACAATGTCATATTACACTAACTGTTGCAATTTATGTACAAATGGTTGTGATCTACTTGTTTGTTGAACAATTTCACCTTGTGAGAAATAAATTGTTGACCTAAACATCTGAAGTTCTCATGTAGTAGTAATTACTTTCTGTCGACAAACAAACAATCAACTATTTACATAAAGTGATGGGACAGTTTTACTCTTAATCACAAATCTTAGATTCAAGCCTTGGATATGAAGAAAATTGTGTTGGGAGCATCATCCCCAAAATGAGTCATGCAGTACAGAATTTAGATTTGATTGAGATCTAATACAAACATTGAATACGGAGTGACTAATAAAAAATAATAATCTTCTATATTACCTTAAAAGCATGAACTCCTAACTTGAATGTTAAATTACTATAATATCCCTAACTTAGATTGTGACTCTTTCGATGAGTTGTGACTATTCCGATAAGTTGTGATTTTTTTTAAAGGGTTGTGATTTTTCGATGAGTTGTGACTTTTCCAAAGAGTTGTGACTTTTTCAATAAATTGTCTTTTCCAAAGAGTTGTGACTTTTTCAACAAGTTGTGACTTTTCCAAACTGTAGTGCCTTCTCGGAACGGTCATGATTTTTCATATAAGACAAAAAAAACATTTGTTCTTACTACCCTTTGTTGACTATAAATAGAGGGACTTCCTCTCATTTTTCAACCACAATTTTTTCTAATCTTCTATTCTTCTTCTTGCATTTAAATATTTTTTGTGTGATTTATTGTCGTTGAGTGAGTTCGCAGTTTAGCGGAATATGAGGTACCACTATACTAATGAAGTAAGTTGTTCTATCCTAAGAGGGTATATTCCATAACTTCAACTACTTGAGAGAAATAATATAGTTTTGATAATAGAATAATTATTATTTTTGTTTAATATATACATTAGTATGTAATGTTCCAATATATGAAGTTAACATAATGTAGTCTAAATTCATTTGCTTTTGTTAACAATTTCCCTTGTGATGTAGATATATGCTTCTGAATATCATTTTCCAAAATTTAGAAAATTGTCACGATTTGTTTTTGATGCTCAAGAAAAAAGAATGACTTTATTTATCAATGCTACTTATGTGATTTAGACTCTCAAGAAGTTTGCTTCAAAATAGTTATTACTATATAAACATTGCCCTTTTTGTTTTACTTATTTACTATTTCTTAATATTTCATTATTTTAGACAAAGAAAAGTTCATATGACTTGTAATAACGCCAGTTGAAGTTTGTATTAGTTTAATTTTTATTATTTATTTAATAGCTAATTTTATGAGATAAATATTTTCATTAATGCAAATATATATTTATATTTTTGGTAGATATTTGTATTTAAATTAAACTATTATATATGTCACAAATGTATTATCAAGTTAACGCAATCTTCTAACTTCAAAATATATTATTTTAAAATGTTCCGAGTTCTTTTTCTTAAACAAAAATTACAACAAATGTGAAAATATGTGAATATATAAAATGTAGTTGTTCTCTTCACATTTTCATATGACATCTAACCAATTTAACGTAGAATACACATGCAAAGCACATTTGGTTAGATGACAAGAAAAATACAAAACAAATATTATCTACAAGGTAATATTAGTGAGATAAGACTAATAACATGATTGAACCTCATCAAATTGAAAGAAATATATACATAATTGCATTTAACTAATAAAAATTTTCATTGACTATCTTCATAGGTTTGCGTGAATAAGAGATATATATGCCGATCAACATTGAACATTCACAAAAGAATCTGCAATATTATTTTTTGCTAAGCTTATTATTCATATATTTGCTTAAATAAGCAATACTATTTACTGTAACACATATTTTTGAAACTGGTTATCACGTGCAACGCACGTGTCAGAAAACTAGTTTTACTTAAAAGTGAAATGCTTGAAAACTTGAAATGGCACTGCATTTCTAAGGAAGACCCGTTTGGCCCCAAATAAAATTTGGGAAAACTTGGTCAGAGAAAAACTTGGGAAAACTTGGTCAGTGACGTTTGGCTACATAACTTGAAAAATATATTTGTCAAGAATTTCAAGTTCCCAAATACTAGAAAAAAATAGTTTTTGGTCAAGTTCTAGTAATTGGAAATTTGACGAGAGGGAGTTGCTCGGATGGTAAGCACCCCTCACTTCCAATCCAAAGGTTGCGAGTTCAAGTCACCAAGGGAGCAAAAGGGGGTGGGGGCTCCTAGGGAGGGGAAAAAATAGTATTTGGAAATTTTAAATAATTCAAAAATTACCCCAAACTTTTATATTTTATAAAAAATACTCATAATATTTATCTACCATATCTATATATGACTACTAATAAATAACTAGATTACTCCTCTATCTATTAAACAACATGTTCACCAACCATATTAAACATCTCTATCTATTATATAACAAAGGAAGTTGCAAGTCTACAGGGAAAGTGAAAGAGAGCCTAAGCATGGCAAAGAGTTATTTAATTATATACATGTCTCTTTGCATAATGTAATTTAAAGAACATTTGGTGTGTGTAAAAGTAGATTCAGAATACTACGGCAAGACATGAACAACTATGAATTAGACATGCAGGTGAAAATAGTAGTTGTTTGTGCCTTATTACATAAATTTTTTGCGTGAAAATCAAAACGGTGATGAAATATTCAATGAACATGAATGTGATGATATGGTTACTGATGAAGATGACGAACAATCGACTTAGAGTAACAATATTGTTTCATCTTCTCTGTCATCTTATCTAGAAATGAAAGTTTGTAGGGAAGTGATTGTTCGTAGAATGTGGAAAGATTATATAAAGGAATAATATGTTACTACCTCCTCCGGGAAATTTCAAATTCTAATTTGAGTGACAAAATTGAGGATGAAGAACAATATTTTTTTATTAGTTAAAATTATAACTGAATCAATGACAAGTTTGAATATGCGATTAACGTATCGCTCTTGCATATATTGTTATTTTGTTGTTGTTGATTGTTATCAATTATGTTATAAGGCTATTTTTAACGGAATATATTCACTATAAATAAATACAAATTTATGGGTAATTTTAATAATTTTTATAACTTATGACTATAAATCATATTTTTCGAACTAGTCAAATATTCTTGAAATAACTTGGAGCCAAACACATGGTGTAATTTCACCAATAACTTGGTCCAAATATTATTAGCGAAGAATATTTGGGAACTTGAGATCAAACACTAGCTAAGTAAGATGTGCAAACAATGTATGTAAGCATCATTCTGAAAAAGAACAAAGATTTGGAGTTGCAAAATAAATGAATGAATCAACAAGAATTTATGTCAACTATGTGTGACAGATGAAAAAATACTATTTTCTTACTAGTCTGTTTTAAAAAATTGAGATTTTTTTAATATGAAAATCATTTAATTTCAAGTTCTTACTCTATACTTAAAACAAGATTTATACATATCTAAATATTATAAAAGAATTAACGGAAAAGGGCCAAATGGCTAAAAATACCAAACAGTTGTTGTTGTTGTCGTCATCATCGTCGTTGTTGTTGCTGTTGTTGCTGCTGTTGTTGTTGTTGTTGTTGTTGTTGTTATTGTTGATGTTGTTGTTGTTGTTGATGTTGTTGTTGTTATTGGTGGTGGTGTTGTTGTTGTTGTTGTTATTGCTGATGTTGTTGGTGTTGGTGTTGGTGTTGGTGTTGTTGTTGGTGTTGGTATTGGTGATGGTGTTGGTGGTGGTGGTGGTAGTGGTGGTGTTGTTGGTGATGGTGTTGTTGTTGTTTTTGCTTTTATTGTTGTTGTTTTTTATGTTGTTGGTGTTGTTATTGTTGGGGTGGTGGTGGTGGTGTTGTTGGGTTTGTTGGTGTTGTTGTTGTGGCTGTTGTTTGGTTTCTGGTGTTGTTGTTGTTGGTGTTGGTGTTCTTGTTCTTGTTCTTGTTGGTGGTGGTGGTGGTGGTGGTGGTAGTGGTGGTGGTGTTATTGTTGTTGGTGTTTTTGTTGTTGGTGGTGGAGGTGTTGGTGTTGTTGTTCTTGTTCTTGTTCTACTCGTATTAATGTTTTGAAGAAATTTTTGGGTTATTAAAAATTAACTGCAATGAAATAAAAAACAAGCAATTTTAATTGATGAATCTTTTCGAGTGTAATTTTGTTTTTATCTTAATTTTTTTCTCCTAAGCTTTTTCGTGATTCGAGTACTTTCAATAGATGTATTTTTCAAAGTGCGGGATGATTTGAACCTTATAGAAATATGTTTGATTATCAGGAATATCGGACAACACTTCGTTGTTCAAGTTGATCTCCTGTCAATACTTTATTATTAATCATTTGAAGAACTGTATAGTTGACGCCAATGCTTTCTAAGATGCTTATAGAATCTCTCCAAAAAATTATGTAACCCTCCTATTTAATTTGTAGGAGGTAGGTAGTTAGAGTTAAGAAAAAACCTTTTTTGCCTTCTTTTGATTAATTTAAGTAAGTCATTTAGCTTGCGACACTCGTAGGAACTGTTACCAAGAGCAACCTGTTGAATAAACCTGATTGTAATAAAATGAGCTCCAATACTTGAAGGCAAAAAATGCACCCCCAAGAAGTCTGATCTAAACTCTATTTGCCGTAGGCACCATGACCTATCTCAGAACCCCTGTAACTTGAGGTGCTACCGCCATAGGCCTGATAGGACGAGAGGGAAGATTACCATCACTGAGCTGATATCCACCTCGAAGTTAAATTATGGTATCGTTGTATTGATGGTGAGACCTCTTACCACTATCTCTGTAAGTCTCAAAGCATGCCTACTCACGAACCTTATAAGACTAACAACCTCGGGAAAGTTAGGCCCAACTGCTATCAAGTGCTCCGACGCCAACCGAATTGGCAAGGACAACCCCTTAACAAATTCCTAATTCAAATCCTGATTCATAGGGAATAATGTCGAGGTAAGCCTGACCCATTCAAGAAATTCCAATACATACTGAGACACAGACAAAAAGCCTTGTTTGAGACCAATCAACCCAACTCTGTCCTTAGAAGCACCTGTTGCACCAAGAACCACACCCATCTGTGGTGTACCCTTGAAGAGACTCGGGACTCCTAACACTGAACCTCGAGA